TGGAGCCAGGTAGGGATTCCTTAGCCTCCTCTGTGTACTGTGTCTGGTCAGAAGTCTGAGTATCCTATTGTAGCTTGACACTTGTGCATTTTAAAATGCAAACTCCTAAGAAAGGGTCTGAGTTTTCAGTATGGGCTTGACTGGAGTGTCAGGCTTTGCAGCATTGGGGTTGTGCAGGAGTGCCACAGACTGTGCCAGTGTCATTGCACAGGTACAGCACTGATGGCTCAGCTTGGCTCAGCTTTAGGAGGGGGAGGTGAGACAGTTTCATGTGTTTGCTCGACATCTCTAGCAATGGCTGTGCTGCTGAGTGATCCTTTCACAGATTGTGTTGTAGCAAAAACTGCATTTGGCACCTTTAAACAGAAGGCTTGGTTTGGAGCTTAAGATGTCCCACGTTATGTACCCATTGTGGGTAGAGCTTGGTCTCCACATCCCAATCACCCTTTTGCTATGAGGTTTGCAGGGCTAGATTTTCACTGAGATCCTGAATTGTTTCTTCTTTTCTTCCCTTGATAAACACACTCTGCAGTTTAGGAAATCAGTAACGCACCTGCAGCAGATTGGTTGGGCATCACAAACCCAAGACCTGTACCAAGGAATTCAGCAGGACAGTGATCTGGAGATGGAATGACTGTCCTGGAGGTGCAGTAATGCATAATTGGGTAAATGGCCCTTGAGATGATTAACTGGGAGCTGTGCAGCAGGGGCAGCACGCTTGTGTTTAAAGTGCTCCCTTGGGCGTAGCTCTTGCCCGGGACAGTGTGCAGGAATGTCCTTCTGGACAGGGACAGGGAGGTGCCTGCTCAGCCCTCCTGCCTTCACGTGGGAGCAGGGCTGCAAACAGCCTTCCAGAGGCTCACCCAGCCCTAGCTGTGCCTGAGGAGCCTCTGATATGGGCACAGCTTGAAAGGCTTTTACATATGTGTTGTCAGTCACAAAGTGCAGCCTAGTTTTCTCTTTCTTGTGCTGTGATTCACCAAGTCCTTCCGGTATAAAACCACCATTCTTCATAAAAAATTACATTAAACAGGCCTTGAACAACTGCACTCTGTGCCTGGGGGAGGCAAATGTCCTGTCATAATCCTCAGGAGAGAGCAGTTTGTGACCTATATCATTAATTAGCAGTGAAATAGTTCTCAGCTTGGGCTACCAGCAAGATTTTCTTTTAAATATTTTAGCTTCTTAGTTCCAGCTGTCCAGTTGGTCTTTGTTTCATGAACTTGCTTCAGTGCGTATTGAGCAGCACCTCAGTTAAAACTGTGGTTGTAAAATACCCTACAAGAATGGTAGTGCTTCATATAATTTACTTAAAAATTTGTATATCTTATCATTGAACTATTTTCACATTAAATTAATTTACTTTTGGAAACAAAAGAGATCCTGCAGTGTCTTCTTCTGCATACATTATTAATGGCAATCCATTTTTAATTTAATGAAAAATTATGCAAAGAGCAAGGGAGGAAGGCTTGCAGTATCCTTGGTCTTTTTCTGCCTAGATAACCTCAAGCAATTGAAGAGGTTATATTTAAAATCCTCTCTTGGTTGGCACTTTTATCTTCTTAAATGGAATAGTGTTTAAACTCAGAGAAACTATCAAAGGTGGAAGGAAGGTACTGGCAGAGGTGAGAAGTGGTAAAGAATTGTATAATCCTGTTCCTTAAGTGGTTGACAGAAATTTCTGTTAGGGAATTGTCTGAAATAGGTGTTGCTGTTGCAGCTTCCCAAAATTTAGTTACATGGTAGAAAGCTGAATCATTATGTAATCAAATTATCTGTGTTAGTTCTATCAACCTGAAGTTAAACAAATTGGTCATGGGTTGAGCCGTGTCATAGAACAGCTTTCCAGGTTGGCGATTTGTTTTGAATTTGACTCTGAGTCACCCGCTGTTACTCCAAGGATTAAGAGATAAAATGTTTCCAAGCCAATTCCTATTTAAACAGCAAATTAGAGCTTGCAGTTAGTGATACCTCTCTGCTCTGCTCTCTTAATTGAAAAAACAGCGCCAAACCCCCATTTGAGTCACTTGTTATTGTGATAATTCAACCCTAGCTAGAGGGAAAGCAAAGCTGACTGGAGAGAGATCTTGTCTGCACTGGAAAAATGATCCATTGCTGTCGGAACTTACCTCCAGCAGAAAGAACCCAGCCCATGTGCAGGAGACTTGTGAGGTTACAGCAAACCAGTGCAGTTTTGAGCCTGGTTGTCTAAAAGACATCTACAAGACCTTTTAAAATGTGACACTTGGACATGGACAGTGGTAAATGTCCTAATAACTGGTAAATTCTACTTAGCTGTGAAACAAAGTCTTTATCACTGTTTAGCTGTAGATTCCCAAGCCCTGGCCTTGGAAAAAGGCTGAGCTGCACTGAAAAGTGTACAGATAAAGAGCAAGAGAGGCTCTGGCCTTGGCGGGCTTGTAGCTGAAGTGCAGAACAGGTAGCCCTGGAGGAGGAGAGAGGAGATGGCAGGAGGAGCTGGAGGTGGGATCTAGCATGGAAACACAAAGCAGCAGCAGCAGGGCACAATCCCCTGCCATGCCCCCAACCCCTGGCTGTGTAGGGAGTGCATGTGCTCAGTCTCTCTGCACTGAAATGCACCTTCTCTCTGCTTGTCATAAGTTCCAGGTGGTTGGAACATCTCCTGGAGCTGTAGTGAATACATTTCCCTAATTTTCCCCCTCAGCTATTTCTGCTCCTCTAAGCAGGGTAGTAGACCTTAAGCTGTAGCAGATGCTGTGTGGACAGTGTCTGTTGTGCTTTTATGCTTTATCACTTTCTGAAGTGACAGCTTTGGTTTTACTTTGGTTCTGTTTCATTCAGCTTGGATTGAACATTGTTCACCAGGAACTGTGGAACTGGATTTTAGTTTCACTCCTTTAAGCAGGAGTCTGTCTGTGGTCACCTTAGGGTGCAGTATTTTATTGTAGCACACCTGGGTGGAGAATTTCCACAGAGTTTCCTACCTTGTGTTCTCATTCTGTTGGTGCTTTGGGGTCTTGGACCACTGGGGACCTCTGCCCTGGCTCTGTCCCCATCACTTCATGCAAATCCTTCACTTCTCGGTGTGCTTCTATTTTCTCCTGTCTTGGAATTGGAATTAACTTCCCCACTCAAGTCAGAGAGGTCAAGTCCACCAGCTGAGGTATAAAATCCCTGGGATGAATCCACCCAGTATCCCTTGGTCTCTGTCACTGGGAGCTGCAGGTGAGGGTTGCAGGGGCATGAAGGGTGTTTAAGCAGCTTCTGCAGCCCAGCAGCCACTAATGCAAAATGAGAACAGCTTTCTTCCCCTCAATGGACGTGTTGTTTCCTATTAAGTTCTTCTGTCTTTAGGTTGTCCCTTTCTTGCATGTCTGTTTTAGTGAAACAAAGAAAAATTAGCATTGGGAAAGAGGGATTTGGAAAGGATCATTAAGCTTTCTAGGCACAGAACGGGTATAACCTGTTTGACTTTGCTCAGCTTTGCCAAGCTTGAATCTTCCCTGCCTGCTGTAAGTGCTGAGCTCATGCTTGGCCTGGCTGTGTCCTTAGGCATCAGGGCTGATGAACGGGGTTATTGTCACTCAGTTATACAGCATTTAGCAAGCAGCGCTGATCCATCCATTACAGACTAAAAAATAACAGTTATACAGACTGTTCTGTATAATTTGGGGTTGTGCAGCCTCCTCTGTTGAATTTTAAACAAAAAGGTGTTGTTTTGGAAGTCTTTTTGTCTTTCTGAACTTGGTGTTTTGCTGAGTCCAAACAGCATACAGATTTTCACCCCCTCCAAATCTTCATGTACACTGATAACCCTCAGCATCCCACCGAGTTAAAAGGAGCTATGTGCAAAACCTTTAGATTCCACATGGAGTTTCCATGGGCTGCAGCAGAACAATAGCCAGCATTGCTACAAATTCTAGCTTGTACCTTTGAGCTTCAGGCAGGAGTAGCAGTGATAACAATACAGAAATTCTTGGGCTGTTTCATAGAAGTGAGAAGAGCTCTGGAATCTATACTGGTACAGAAAGATTAAAATGACTTGATGAAGGTCACACAACAAGCTGATGGCCAAAGCCCGGACTGAGGGTAATACATCATCCAGGCTTTCCTCTGATTTGATAGACCTCAGCGCTTTAGATGGAGAGCTCATCATCCTCACTGCTGCATTGGTGGTCTGGTGAAGAATTTCAGTCTTTTAATGGGATCTGAAAGTTGGGTAGTAATAATTATTTCTCATTTTTGGTTTGGTGTATGAACCAGAAATTGTAATAGCAGTTTTTACAAAGCTTCTTTTCAAACTGGCTGCATAAACAGAAAAATAAATTAAGGCTTACAAGTCTCCTCTGGGAATGCAGTAAATATTACCCTGTTTTCCAAAAGGAGGAAGCAGAACAGCAAACATTAATGTGATATATCCAAGGTTAACCAGTTGGCAGAACTGGGAATAACTCCTGCTTGTAAGGTCCTTACTGGTCACTTGTTTAAGTGTTGTTTAGGGGTTGGACCATGCAGAGCAGGTGAAAACATCCCTGCGTGTATCCGAGGGATGGGGATGGAGGTGATCAGGACAAGAGATGCCTTTTCCTCCTGCATCCGGGAAAGGGTTACAGCTGAAATGCCTGTAGCAGCCTCAGGAAAACATGAATCGGTGCTGCTGAGGGAGGGCAGGATGGGAGCCCAGATCCGCGAGCTGCCTTGTGCTTTTCCATTATAAACAGCCCTTTTTGGGGGGGTTAAACCCGGGGCTCCGGAGCATCGCTCCCCAGCCGCTGCCCCTTCCTTCCTTCCCCGGCAGCTCCATCCCGCTGCTGCCGCGGCCCCGGGCGTGCTGTGCTGGGCTGGGCTGTGCTGTGCTGTGTGTCTCTGTGCTGTGTGTGCTGTGTGTCTCTGTGCTGTGTGTGTGCTGTGTGGTGTGTGTGCTCTGTGCTGCTCTGTGCTGCCTGCTCTGTGCTCTGTGCTCTGTGCCGTACACGCAACATGGAGGGAGGGACCGGCGCCGCCGCCGCCTTCCCCGGCAGCCGCTCGGCCGCGCTCGCCGCGGGCACCGCCGGAGCCGCAGCCGGAGCCGGAGCCGGGAGCGGCCTCGATGGATCGCACAGGTCAGTGCCAGCCGTACCCTCAGGAAGCCCCTCCGGGACGGGCCTCCCTTCCCCTCCTTTATTTTAACCCTCATCAATGGCGTGCTGAGACCGTGTCTCCGAGGGACGTAATTGTTTCACACTTGGTCAGAGCCGGCGATGCCTAATAAAAATGTAGAGCGGGATTAAGGAAGGCAAGCGTGGCATTCCCGGCTAGCAAATCCAAGCTCATTTTAATATTTGCTGTATTTTTTAACCCATGGAGATGACTGTGTGTCTGAAGTGGTTGAGCGTTTGAATGGAGAAAGGTTAATTGCCTGCTTCAGCCACATTACACTGTGCAGCTCCCACCAGCATGCAGAAAGCAGACAAAGTCTAATTTTGCATCCCATCCTTTTTGTGACAGCAGTCCTTGAGGCGTTTTCCGGTAAAGTGTGCAGAATGCGGTTATCAGCATGACAGAAAATGCATTTTTTCTACTAAAAAATGTACTATATCCTGTGCATAGCAGAGAGGAGCACACAGTGTGTACTTTGTGTGAAAGCAGCAATAGTCACAAGGGCTCTTTGCTGAGTGTATTTTTCTCCCTTTCTAATGGATAACTAAGAACCGTTGGTGGGATATGGGTTTAGGAGCAGTAGTTCTGGAGGGCCAGGTTATCTTATGTGTGTTGTTAAAATTCTTGTGGAATGAGGCAGAGCTGATTATCTTCAGGGCAAATCATCTCCTTCACCCTGGGCTCGGGTTTGTGCTCTGCCTGATAGGAAGTATGCCTGGTGCTGCTGCAGTTCCACTGGGATTTTCTACTTAGGGCTGAAAGTGAATAAATATTGACTGCTGAGGTAAAAAGGAGGGAGCTGTGGACCCAGGATCAGTTAAAATTTGCTGTTACCACCTACCTGGGTTACAGATCAAGGCAGTTTTACCACACCAGAAGTTATTTATGAACCAAGGTGCCAGAAGCTGGAGACGCAGATTCTTATTTCACTGTTTAATACATTATCAACAAAGTCTTGGTAATTTATGCTGACTCCTCCTACTTCACTTACCCTGCCAAACTGAAGGAGAGTAGCTCACCATCAGTACTGCAAAATTTCTTTGAATTTGTCTGTGTTTTCTTTCTTCCTTGAAATATTTATCCTTAGGAAAGCTGCTGCTGGATATCTGCTCATTGTTTGACTTGGGCACTGTGAGAAACGTAGTTGGAAAATTTTGGTTCCACTTACTTGGAAACAAAACTGTATTTAAAAATTAACTGTGTCTAGTGCGCTAATGCTGAAGGCTTTACACTCCCTGGCTTCCTTTGTCATGGAAAAAGCACAAAATGCAATATATTGGCAATATGTTGTTACCCAAGGATAGAACCACAGGCTTACCAGAGGGAATTTTGTAAATAGGAACTACAGGATTTGTGTTTGGTGTGAATTCCCTTGGGAATGAGAGCTTTGGTATTTGTGAGAAGGTGGCAATGTCAGTATGTACAATATGAGGTTTCTGGCTGAAGACAGTTTAGGAGTGGTTTCATAAAATCTATGCAGTTTTCCTCCGAATGGATCTTGTCATCCAAGAAGTCTGCAGATGAAATAGGTTTTAGTTCTGGCAGCTACATGCCCTTTTTTTGTCACTTGTGCAGAGAGTCCAGAGTATGACAGAACTAAGGATGAGCTTATTTTGGTTGGCTTTCTGAATGCAGATCTCTTGCTCATGTCCTGCCTTTCAGCACAGAGATAAAATTGGTATTGTTTTTTGGAAGCAAAGCTTGCATTTAACAGGATTATAGGAGTATTTTTAACTTCCTGCTCTCACTCCAGTGCTCCTGATGGATGCTTGGAGTGCGGGGAGTTTGCTGGTTATTGATGTCAAAGTGAATGTGCTGTGCTGATGCAGATCTTCTTGAGGAGAAACGTCTTTTCCTGAGTGGCACATGGGAGGGCTGCAGAGTCCTTGTCCTGCCCATGACAGCGGCTTTGGGGCTGGAGGGAAGAGGGGCAGAAAGCAGCAGGGCTGAGCTGGTTCAGGGCAGTGGCTGGGAGGGCAGGGGCAGAGCCCCGGGTGTTCCAGGGATGGGGAATGTCCTCGGAGCCAGGCTGGGGGTTGATGTTCGGAGCTGGCGCTCGCACGGGCAGCCCGGGGTGGTGGCCTGGGTGTCACAGCGTGTCCCCTGCCCAGCTGAGCTGCCTGTCCTCCTGACCTCTGCCTGCCCTCCAGCTCTGGCACACAGCTTTCCCAGGCCCTGGCCCCCTGGGATGCTTTCCATGGAAAAAACCCCCACATTTTTTCTTATGCAAGGAGGGGACAGCTTTATCATCCGTTAGTGAGCACGTCCTTGGCTCCCCCAGGTCTTTTTGCAACAACCAGTGTAACAATGTCCTGTGTCACATATCCTCAGTATTTATATCAAAAATACAAAAATAATCATTTAATCCCGCTTTGTCAAGCATTTTGGTTTAATCTTCCTTTGTGTTGAACCGTGTTTCTCCTTATTATTTGATACTTTATGAAAACTTCATGCTCTGGTGTCAGGGACCGCAGTTTAATCATTTGATATTCTGCTTCTGATAGTTGTCACTAAAGGGAATTAAATCCTTAGTTTTCACCTATGTTGAAAAAAATGAATGTTATTCCCAGCTACTATTCAGTTATCAGCCTGAAGAAAAGAGGAAAAAAACTCCACAGCATCCCTGGTGAAAAGAAGAAATAAGGTGAGTTTGAAACAGTGGATGTGATGGACAGGAAACAGGAGAAGTGGGATGGGATCTGAGCTTCCCAGTCCTGAGGATAAAGACCAAAGCAGGCAGCTCTTTAGCTGTTGAGTCAGAGCAGGGCAGACTCCAGTGTCTTTTCATATAAAGAGAAAAAACAGGCACATGTACACCTTTTGTGTGGTTTTTTTGAATATTGGGAATAGTGACAGGATGCAGTGGCAGGGGCTGAGAAGGAGTGGGCATTTCTAGAATTCCATCCAGCTCCTTAGGATGGAGTGGTGCAGCTACTCAGCTGCTCTCTGTTGTGTATTTGTTGGAGGAGGTTGTGTGTGCTGTTTGTGGAGCATGCAAACATGCCTGAATTGGGAATCCAGAAAGAAGCTGAAGGATAACCCTCAGCATCTGGGTGCATTTCACACTGCCAGCTGTTCCTTTGGCTGATGGGAAGATCCAGTGTGATTTAGAGTGGGGATGACAGAAGAAGGAGGAATTTGAACTTGGTACCTTGCTTTAATGCGCCATTTGTTCTCCAGCATCTCTTACATCCGTGTTCACTCCTTCTGAAAGTGTGACTGTGGAATTAGTTTTCCCAGCACCTCTGGAGACACCTTGGAGGTGATGTAACACCTGCTCTTCCATCAGCTGCCTCTCCTTACGCAATCCACATCTAATCTAGTTTGCTCCTTCCCCTGGGTAAAACAGCAGGAAAAGTGCAGTACTTGCTAAAAGGTCTGTTCTAGTTTTCCTTCAGTCTGGTCCGAGGAGCTGTCTGGTGGCAGAGGCCACCCTTGGTTGCAGTGGCTGTACTGGCAGAGCCAGGCGTGCCCAGGAACAGGCTGGATGTGTGGGGTCATCTGTGTCAGATTTTAGTGCATTTATAGAGGGTTGGGCCTTGCCTCTCCCATCAGCAGGTGCCACGCCTGACTAAACTCCTGAGGCATCCAGAGGTGACACAGCATTGCTGCTCCTTGGGTTACTGATTTACTGCAGGCTCACTCCGAGGCTCCTCAAAGGTCTAAATTCTCCAGTTAATCCAGCTTGGGGAAGGACTTCCAACCTGATACTTCCCATAATGTTAAAGACCAGAAAGCCCTTGTTCATTGGCATTGACGGGAGTTTAACTCAGCTCTTTGTTTCTCGCCTCAGACAGTTCAAGCTGGGGGCAGTTTCAGCTGGGGCCTCCTCTGGTTTTTCTGGAATAAGAACAGAGCTGGACACAGAGCTGATACACGAGCAGTGGTGGTTGTGGCTTTCTCCTGGCAGGTGGATTTAGGGCAGTGTGCAGCCCCGGTGGGGTTTAACCACCCTTGGAAGGGGCAGTTTTGTGGCTGTGACTCTCCCCCGGATCCCCGGGTGTGTGTCCCTGTTCCTAGGGTGACACTGATGAAGGCCAGCGGGCTGGGGTTTCTCCCTTTCATTGTGCATTATACATAGATTTTCCTACTCACAGGGCTATTGAATAGTCAAAGATTTCTCAGAATGTTTATAAATTAGTGCTCCAAACCTTGTTCAGGACTGGAATGTGGCAGATGAGATTTCAGCCCTTAAGGAGTATTTTAATTGTGCAAACTGGCTTGATTCTCTGGCCACTTGTTTTCATTTGTGTATTTCAGAAGGCTTTGTCCTTTTAGAAGTGAAACATAACAAGATACCACGCAAACTTTTTTCAGAAATAATAAATACAATATTTCCAAGCCTTTTCAGTCTGCTGTTCTCTGTGCATTTGCTCTTACTGATACTTTAGTGGAATAGCTTTGCTCGCTCTATGAGATAAATGTCATTTGTAAATGAGCATTGTATCTCTTTGTAGTGTCACTGTGCTGGCTTCTGTTTTGGGAGTGTAAATGTGCTGTGCCAGTGCATGCCATGCTTTTAAAAAAATTATTGACATAAAATATCCAACTATTTTAAGTGTATATGCCTACAGTGGCTCTGTAAAAATCTGTTTGTGTTCTAATAAGGGTGTGCTACAAGAAGGCTTTTGGCAACCCAAAGTCCATGCAATTGAGAGCCAAAAAGTAGATAAAAAGAGCGCTTAACTACTTGGTACCTTTTTTTTCATGGTTTCTGAGCAAATCTCATAATTTGATGGGAAGAGGGACCAGGACCAGATTTTCATGTTTTCCTTTAGTAGAACTTTGAATGGCATCAGGCACCCAGCAAAGCCCTTGCTACAGGTGAAATAAGAGTGGGTTTTGACCTTGGGCATGTGTTGTAACAAATTCGATACCAGGTGTTGGGTACTCGGGCACTCTCCTGCGAGGATAAAGGCAGTGACTCCTCCTGACATAATTCTGCATAAGCAAAATCTACTGC